ATTATCGATTGTTAATATCTTTTAAAAATATAAAATTAAAAAAGAACTAAGATATTTAAATCATTGATAACAAAAATTTTCAATGTGAAAAATTTAATAAGTTTATAATTTATAACTGTTCTTGAAAATTTATTGAAAATTTTGAAATTAAAATATTTATGTAATCTTATATGGTATATAATTTAATCTGTATATATATATTTGTTTTATTATTGAATGATACTTTTACTTATATGGTTTTAAAATTATGTATATCTTTTGATAATAAAAATGTTAAACTATTGATCATTAATTTTTAACATAATAATTTTAATAGTTTAGTTATTTATTCTCGTTTTTAAAAATTTCAAAATATAACTTATACGAAAAAATCTAAAGTTTAATTTTATAGCTAATTTGTTTGTTTAATTTATTTTAATAATATAAAATTAAAGAAAAATGATGGAGGATATATAAACTGTTATCAAATATTTATTATTAGAATCATTAAGTGTCATATATATATATTAGTCGTCATTTATGGTAATTCCGTAGGTTTTATTTAAGGAAAGAAAATAAAATAGTAATTATATATAGGGGAACAATCATTAAGTGTCATATATATATATATATTAGTCATTTATGGTAATTCCATAGGTTTTATTTATGGAAAGAAAATAAAATAGTAATTATATATAGGAAAACAATCATAAATACTTCTATCATAAATATCATATCATATCATCATATCATATAATTTGACCAATGAATGTATCTAACGACATATAAAAATCGAATGTGTACATACTTATTTTTCAATTGAATGTAATTGAATACCTAATTGAGTGACACCTAAGCATGATGTCTTTTTTAATTATTACAAAATTGAGGTTACAATTTTTTAAATGTTTCTCCTTTAATATTTAAGGGATATTTACAATTTGCATATATCAATTTTAACATAAATTCCCAAGTTAACATATTAAGTTTTACATTTTACATATACACTTGCCTTTACCATTAAGTATGTACTTGGTCACAAAGTAATTTCCATTTTACATATACACTTCCATAAATTAAAAGGAATGAAGTTATTATAGTTAATATATGCAAATCGTTATCAAATCGTATATTTTCCNATTAAGTTTTACATTTTACATATACACTTGCCTTTACCATTAAGTATGTACTTGGTCACAAAGTAATTTCCATTTTACATATACACTTCCATAAATTAAAAGGAATGAAGTTATTATAGTTAATATATGCAAATCGTTATCAAATCGTATATTTTCCTTTTCTTCCATTACATGCGTGCGATATATATAAATATATAAATTATGTTACATGCGTTATATGCGTCTCTAATTATTTTTCCCTAGCAAATTTCAATTGAACCTAAAGCTGCCACGTCAGTTTAATTGGTATGCTAATTGATTGACAACTAAGCAAGGTTACTTTTTAATTAATACAAACTTGAGGTTACATCTTTTCAAATGTTTCTCAATTAATATATAGGGGATGTCTACATATATACAAAGAATTTACCTTTTAATAAATTCTCTTTTGATATCTTAGGGACAATTTTGGCGAAAATAAACTAAAAAAAATAGGGAAATTTGCCAAAAGAGGACCGAAAAACACAACTATTGTCCCCTTAGAATAAAATCAAATTTTTGCACTTTTAGACTTTCACTACCCTTTTTGTATATAAAAATTCATAAAAATAAATTTACAAAGCAAAAAAATTAGGAAAAAAATATAAATATGAAATAGAGTGGCATGTGAATATATGAAAATCATTTTTACATTCGAAAAATGTTTGGAATAGTAATTTCAAAAATTGGATAAATGGGGTAGTAAATCAGATCTACCATCTAAGGCCGTTTAGAGCGTACAATCTACTAACAACTAATCGATCTAAAGGGTTTAGAATGTGTAATACACCAAAAACATATACATCTACGAATGAAGAATATGATATCTGCGTTTCCTTCTTTGATCTGGAGTTTTACTAGAACATAACATATACGAAAGATTCACGCGTCTATCTTGGCAGAACATATCCTCTTAATTTTAATGTTTTATCTAGGCCTGTGAGATTACGTATCTACTGGTTAAACTATTTGGTAAATTGGTAGAATGTATCTTCTACCAATGGTTTTTGAGCAACCATCCAAAAATCTAGCAAAATCTGAAGAATATTGGTTAATAAATATTCTCTAAATATTTTTATTTCTTTTTTAATATATTTTTTCCTTGAACGTGGGTTTCAATTATGTAAAAGATTGACCAAATCCATCTTCTTCCTTAATGATATGTATTAGGAAGGATTTGTAATAATATAGTATAAACTGTCATGGTATAATGGGAAGAGAGCGTAGTTTAACGCCCATATCCTGAGTTCAAATCTAGGAAAGATCCCTTTTAAAAAAAAAAATTATTTTCATATTTAGTGAAGGCAAAACAATACATGTATGATAGACTTGTTGGTGACTAGCTTGTAGACGTTACCAATGTTGATTAAGGTTAACAAGCAAATTCGCAGCAATCTTACACAATTATGAAAATTTCATTTATAAAAAGGATCAAAGACTATATAAAGAGCATATTGTTTATACACAAATAAAAACAATTATAAAGCATATCAAAGACGGTCTCTCATATTTTTTCTGTACGATATGGTCGTTGAGAGTTTTGGGAATGGTTGCATTTACTTTCTGTTCAAGTTTGCAAGTCATTTTTAGTTGTCAAGTCGATGTGGAGCATTTTAGATTCAAGTTAACATATAATAGTGTGGAGATATGAAAAAACATAACAATTAAAATGTTGGACAAGAGAGATAGAGGTAGAGATGTACAAAACATAGAAGATTCAAGATTCATAACTAAATTGATCAGCCTAAATTACTTCACTTTAGATGTTACATTTTCTTTTGATCAGCTTACAAAAGATACAAAAATAAGATCCGAAAAGGACAAAAATGGATTTTATTCTAATATGCCACACTCACTCCCATCTTTGTTCTAATATACCACAGTCATAAATTTGATTCTTTTTTTCTTCTCAAAGTCGAAATGTGGTTAAGAAATTAATAACCCTTAATGAATCATTATTATGTATAATATGAATTACTAGAAACTACCTTGAATTACCTTGAATTACTAGAAACTACCTTAAATTATTAGAAATTACTACGAACAAAAAAAAAAGTGTGGCAGTGTAGAATAAAGTGTGGTAGTTAGAATATTTATTTTCTAACTGTGGCATATTAGAATACTTTCCGTAGGAGAGAGCGATATGGTTCTGTTTATTTTTTTATTTTTTACCTTCTTACTTCTTAGATAAAACAATATAAGTACAATTAACATTTTACTCTTTTTTTATAATAATATTAGTTGCATTTTTAAAGCTAATTAAGAAGGACTAAACTGGGTTTTCATTATTGTTTATACTATAGAGACACTGATTTTTATTTTAATTCTAAGACCATGTACAATGGTTTCAACACCCACTTCATTTGCAACACCCTACTTTTATCTTTTTAACATTCCACATCATCTTCTCTTTCATCCACCTAATTTATTCAACACCCTTTTCAGTTTTAGCTTCTACAATAGTTTGTTTATAAAAATTCAACACCCTATCCCACCACTTTTAATTTATCCTTTTATCTTTATAATATAATAACTATATGTTAATAATGTTATTAATTCTAATTAACTTTAAAACTAAATTAATATAACTTTAAATAAAAAGAATGTTGAATTTTTGAAAAGTTATTATTAGAATATATTTAACAAAAAAGTTTAAAACATTAAAATAGTTAATTATAGGAAAAAATGACTTTTTTGTGTCCAAATAATATGAGAGTAATCTCTATTTATAGCTTGTAAAAAGTTATGATTTTTTATATAACTTTTATTATTTAAAAATAAAAAATATTATATAATAAATGAATTTTAGTTATTAGGTGAAAATAAAAATAAAATAAATCTGCACAACATTTATATCCAATCAATTTACGGCAAGTAGTAAAACTGGCCCACATAAAATTTTATCTAACATGTTGAAACTTTCCAACTGATGTTGAATCCACATAGATAAACACATTGGGTCTAAATGGTAACATAAGGAACGAAGGGGAATAACCAATTCCTACTTATTCCTTAAAAAAAACACTATTCATAAGGAATATTTCCTACGTATGATTCCTTGTCATTCCTTGAATTCTAAGGAATTATAGAACAAAAATATTCCTTATCAAAATTGATATGGAACCAAAGTAATAAATATTCCTTTTTATTCATTTTATTTTGTTCCTACTTATTATTTTCCTAATCATTCCTATTTCTATTTTAATAGTCACCAGTTAGAGCCATTAATTCAACACCCTCATTGTAAGGTATTCAACAGTTGAAACTCACTCTCAACATCCCCATTGTGGGTGATGGGGACAATAGTAGGATTTTTTTTGTTCCTTGTTGGCAATTTTCCCAAAAAAATTATCATAGTAAATTTTTCTTCAGAATAAACGTATCCAACACTATCTCTTTTACATGTTTAATTGAGCAAGTGACAACATGAAAAGCCAGAAACATGTTGATATATTATCCACAACAAGAATAATATAGCATTCACGACATAGCTGATTTTTTTTTCTTTTGAACACAACACGACATAGCTGATAGAAACTGAGATTGATCTAGTATAGTGGAAAGTTGCTGCTTTTGATGCAAGTCTGTCTCTGTTGCTTTACGTTTTTCCATCCTGAACGCAGACACAAAAAATTGGATAAACAAAACGAAGAGAGCGAAAAGCTTTTCAACGCAATACAACATACCTCATGTCTATTCGTTAATCACCAATAGTCATTGCAGCTGCATTTTCCTTCTTTGAGATGGTGGAATCTCTTTCCATCTCGCATGACCACAGTTCTACCAACTATATCTGCCATAATCTTCAACGAGTTATGACAATCAATACACACACGAAGGTTTTTGATGATCGTGAATTGATGACGAGGTCCAGTGCTGAGAAGAGCACGAGCAAAAGCTATTCTCTCGCTATGACCAAGAAGTGCATTCTCTTTACTCTCTTCGTCTACATCATGCAAAGACATTTTTGTGAGACAAACATATCCCCTTTCTACCGAATGAGTCCTTAAGTTTCTCAATAGCTGTAAAAGTTCATCGTTCTCAGGTAGATTAGTATCCCCAGCCTTATATTCATGCACCCTATTAGTCGGGTTTCCGGCGAGAGCATGAAACCCTGATCTTTTCTTCAGACTGGCTTTCTCAACATCTGATTCTTTAACCGGAAGATAACCGTCTCTTGACTGTTGGTCCAACCGTGTAGGATCTAACTCATCAACAATCTCAGCACACCGATTTCCAAGCTCTAGATCCCCATGTACTCGAGAAAGATTCATCAATGTTTCCCACACATCAACACTTGGCTCCCCGGGGATTCTCTCAACAAATGCTAAAGCCTCATCTAATAATCCTGGTAACGCAAACATCTCAACGATACTTACATAGTCCTCCATGGTAGGGATGATGCCATAGTCTTTGAACATTGACCTAAAGTGCAATAACCCTTCATCAACATCACCTAGCAACCCACATGCATAGAACACACCTCTGAACAGTCGACCGTCAGGTTTGTTTCCTTCGTTTTTGAAACGAGTAAACATATCAATAGCGTCTTCTCCTAGTCCATTCTTCGCCAAACATCTTATCATAATGCACCAAGTCTCCAGATTCTTCTCAGGCATTTCCTCAAAAACACAAGACGCTTTATTCATCAGCCCACAGTCGGAGTACATTTCTATCAACAAGTGATAAGAAGTCGCATCTAAAACGCAACCCAATGAACTAATCTTCCCATGAACAACCTTGGCTTCTTGTGAAGCCTCTACTTCCCCACACAGCTTCGCTAATCGTAAAAGCCTAGGTAAATCCACAACATAACTCAAAATAGCCAACGAATCAATACTACTCATGGCCATTTTAACATTCCCTTGTCTGCAAAACGCATCAAACTCCTCAATCACAAGGTCTGTATAATACTTCAAATAGTTTGCATCTGAATGGTAAACCAAAGCTCGGATCTTCCCGTGAAGAGAGACCTTGGCTTCTTGAAAATCGTTGTGTTCTCCACATAACTGTGCTAACCGTAAGAGCCTAGCTAAATCCAAGAAATGCCCCATACTCTCCAATGATTCCATAGACTCAAGAGCCCGTTTGAGAAAATTTTGTTCGCATTGCGAATCAAATTCTTTAACCATTTCTTCAATCTCGTTATAATTACCTGATTGCCAAGAATAAGATCCACCGTTTCTATAATCAGAGCTTGTCCAGTAAGTGCTGTTGGAATTGAGGTTCCGAGACTGGACCTGCCATGAATTCGAACTCCAGCTCTGAGTCTGTGTCTGAACACCAACACTTTCACTTACTTCATTTCTGTTAAACCCTGCTCTAGGGTTTATGTCACTGGAGATATATGACGAATCCTCGAGTCGATATTCGTTAGAGTTTGAAAAACCTAACCTTTCAACAGCAGTGCTGAGATTCCTCAGGACTCTTTTATAGGAAGAGCGACATTCGTCGCGAGCATAATTTGCTCTGGGAAACAAAGAGAGCTTTCTATACATCAGAAGAGCAGAGGCCAATGGTAACGGAGGATCCTAGCTTCGACGGAAAATCTCAGACCGGCGGTAGATGTGTGGGCGACTAGTGCTGCCTGGGCGGCTACGAGCTCGAAACGGCAAGACACTATCGGAGATGGACTTTTTGGGCCTAACTTGGGCCTATGTGCTGGAGATTGGTTCGAATTTCTGCGTAAAAAGTTTTTTAGTAATTTGGTTTTAGAGTAGTTCGGTTAGCTTAAAACGATACTGAACTGAGCTGAACTGAAATTAAATCCGGTTCCGTATTCAATTTTTCGGTTTGTGAAACCTATCGAATCTAACCGGACCTTTCTGTTTTTGATTAAACTGATTAAAAATAAAAAAACTTGAATAGTTTGGTTAGATCTGGTCAAAATATGGGTTATTGGTTCGAAATTCGGTTAAAATCGATATGATTTGTTTGATTTTTTTTTAAAAAAAGAAACTCAAAACCAATCGAACGGCTAGGCAAACCGAACCGATAACCATTTTCCAAAAATAACCAAATTAGACCGAACGCGAACCTGAACAACAAACCTGAACCTTAGATTCGGTTCAAACCCACAGGCCAGGGACTCTCGTGTATATGAGGAATTGGAGGAATCTGCTTCTTCCTAAGTTGGTTAAATCATGCTCCGTCGTCTGATTCTCCGGCAAGCTTCCGCCGCCGCAACGGAATCGAAGTTAGGTCGTCGTATTCACGGATTCGATCAGCGAGTATATATCAATTATTCTTTCTGGATTTCTATACGAAATGACATGTTTTTTGTTGTGTCGTGATTCAACGTTTATGGTTTTGTGTTTCAGAGAGGGGTACACAGCAGGAACAAGAAGGCGATGGAGTACGTAGCCAAAGGATGGAGCGCGATTAAGGAAGTGGATAGAGTCATTGACTACTGTGAACTCAATGACCGACGCCTTATCCCTCTCCTCAGGGTATTTATTACTCCAACTTCTAACGAATCCTTTGGTGTGTTAGTTAAATTTGTTTTGAATGTAGTGTCTTTGTTTGGTGTGTTCCTCAGGGAGCTAAAGAGAACTTTGAGCTTGCTCTTGAGGCTGATAATCTCAACACTCATGCTAGATTTTGGCTCTCTAAGTTGCACTTGAAGTATCATGTTCCTGGTGCCTGTAAAGCTGTGTAAGTTATATCAATTGTTCCAAAATTATTTCCTTTTTCTTTTTGTCATTTACGCAAATGCTTTTCCTTTTTTTTTTTTGTCTTTTTGGTTGTGTCATAGTGGAGCTGCTTTGCTTGTCGAGGCAGCTGATATGGGTAATGCGGATGCTCAGTATGAGCTAGGTTGTCGTTTAAGAGTCGAGGTAAAACCTTCCTTGTCACTTGTTAATAATGTTTAACAAATTTTACTGTTTATTACTAATATAACCTTAGAATGGAGAGCTTTCTCTATATATTTTGTTTGTTCCATTGTTTCTTTAGTGGCACCCCAATGTCAGAGGAATCATTTTCTCCCACTCAACCTAAACCAGCATTTCATACTAATCATAATCTATCTTGCAGAATGATCATGTCCAGTCAGATCAGCAAGCCTTTCATTATATAGAGAATGCTGTTGATCAGGTATAAATAAGAATATGCTCTGACAATTGAATCAAACATATTTTTTTCGAAATTCTCACCTTTTTAGAGTTGGTAACTTTGCAGCTGCATCCAGGTGCCCTTTACCTTTTAGGGATAGTGTATCTGACAGGAGACTGTGTGAAGCAAGATATGGATTCAGCTGTATGGTGTTTCCACAGGGCATCAGAGAAGGTAAGAAGCTTTATGTCTTGCAAAAACCACTCTTCTCAGTTTCTGCTCTCCGCTTCATTACTGCTTCTTCCTGTAGTTTCCATTGTTTTGAGCCGCATATGTTTCAGGGACATGCCGGGGCTGCTATAGCGTATGGATCTCTTTTACTTAGAGGTTAGTAATATCCTCTTTTCACACAAACCCTCCTTGCTTCTTTTTACATCAGACCTTGACGACTATATATGGCTTTCTAGATCTTAGGAACACAACAAATATCGTTTCGTTTCTTGCTTTTTGAGGTTACTTGGTTAAAGATGTCAACAACTTTACAGGTGTGCAAGTCCCGGAATCTCTAACAAGAATGAACACGGTGGGAGTTCCGCCACCTAAGAGATCAAGAGAAAACATGGAAATGAATCCGTTAGAGATGGCGAAAGAGCAGTTCCAAATCGCTGCAAGAGCAGGGTGCGATCTCGGGCTGAAATGGCTTCAAAGGGTAGAGCAGGAAGAGAAACTTCTTATCAACCAAGAAGATAGTGAATGTGCACCTGCATAAGTGCACACTTATATGTGTCCTATAGAGTGAAATTATTATTGTAGAAATATGCTACAATTGAGATCCGAGAAAATAACCGAACAAAGAACCAAGAAGTCATCGAATCTTTCCCTAAAAGCCAATAGTCATAGTCGGAACCTTTATGACGATTCTTCAAATTTTTGAAGAGAAACTGGTGAGTTTTTCACATAGTTTTCCCTAATGTTTCAGTTGCTCTCACTTGCAAGAATTTATACTTTTGAGATTAGTTATAAGCAATAAACTAGATGAACATTTTCTACTGAGCATTTTAATAAATTAAGCATAAATCTATAATTTTTTATTAAAAAAACAAATAATTCTACAGCTTTGTTAAAATTTTGAGTTGCAAGTAGTATTCTTATATCCGACCCAGAACCTCGTAGAACAGATAGATCTGAGGATCCATATATATTGTATATAGCATATACAACATGTAATTTGTTAATATTATTATTTTTCTAAATTTATATAAAATTCCATATAAATATGTGAAATCATAGTATTGTTGAAGAATATAACTTTATTCTGATAAGTTCCCAGAAAATGTCATTGATATGTTAAGTTAAACGATTTGAAACACATAATAGATTGCTTGTTAAGATGTCATACATATTCTGGTATTTCTAGCGTATTTATAATATCAATTTACATACTGAATTTTCATTTTCAAACATTTTAAACTTAGTAAAGTTTCCATTGTATTTTTAATAAAAATATAGATAGAGTTATGTTTATCAAAAACTCCAAAATTCAAAACAATAAAAAATATTATACAAAAAGTTATATTGGTACATTTAAAAAAAAAATCTGTAAAACTTTTTTATGTGAATAGTGGTATGTTTTGAAAAGGAAATGATAAAGGAGAAAGAATATAACTGATCTAATTGTTTTTAATTTTAGAATATTTCCTTAATTAATTATTTAATTGATATTAATTAATTATGTTATGCATAAAGATAAGAGCGGCATGATATTCTAATTATCTCACAAAACCAAGGGTAAAATGCTATGAAGAATTCAGCTTTAATAGTATAGATTATTATTTTTGCTGAACACATAATTTTAGGTTGTTAAAGTACATTTTATATGTTTTAGACAATAATATATGTTGAACCACATTTTTTTTGTATTATAGTAGTGTTAACTAGGCGTGGATTAAAAAATTGGAACCGAAGAACTGAACAGGAACCGAACCGAAATATCCGAAACCGGAACTGAACCGAAACCTTCAAATATTCGAACGGTTCTTATATTTGTATTCCGAAATAACCGAAACGAGCCAGAACTGAACTGAGAACCGAAAGGATACCCCGAATATATACTAATATTAATTTTATATACATATAACATAACTAAATGTATGATTTTAATTTAAAAATTTATTAAAGGTAGAGAGATTTAGTGAACTACCCATATTTGAAGCTCAAATTAGCAAAATACCATTGATTGAACATGAAGGACACTGACACAACCATTTGGCAAGGAAATGCCGAGAATGCCCTTTCTCTTTCCTCTCATTAAGACGAAGCGTAAAAACATTTGTTAACATATAACACTTCTGTTAACGTCTACAATATTTGTTAACAGCCAACACATTTATTACCGGGAAGCGTAAAAATAATTGTTAACAGTTAACACTTCTGTTAACGTCTACAATATTTGTTAACAGCGAACACATTTATTAACGCGAAGCGTAAAAATAATTGTTAACACCTAACACTNAACACCTAACACTTCTGTTAACGTCTACAATATTTGTTAACCGCTAACACGACGTCGAATCTAAAACCCAGAAAATTGATATCATCAAAAAATTGAGGATTCAAAGCCACTTATGAAAAAAATAATGAAATTTAAAATTTAATTGTATATAGAATGATAGAGATTTGTAAAATAATTAGGGATTGGAGAGAAAAAAAAAAGGTCAAAATTGAGGATTCAAAGCCACTTATGAAAAACTAATGAAATTTAAAATTTAATTGTATATAGAATGATAGAGATTTGTAAAATAATTAGGGATTGAAGAGAAAAAAAAAAGAGGGGAGATGTCAAAGAGAGGAGAGAGAGTAGAAAAGGACAAAATGGTCCAAAGGAAAGTGATTGTCACATCATGGGCAATTCTCTAACTATAGGTGCCAAATATGGCACTTTAGCCAATTATCTCTTAAAAGTATCCAAAAATAGTTCAAAATAACTAAATAATTATAGAGTATCCGAACTACGGATAATAATATACAAAATTTATATCTAAATCATTCTAATTATTTGATATTTTATACTAAATAATCGATAATTTACCCGAACTACCCGAATTCGAACCGGCAAATGAGAATCGAATTTTCTAGGTGTTTTATGGTTCCTACTTTTACTATCCAAACCGAACCAAACCTGAAACTATCCGAACCGAACCGAATCAAAAATAAGTCAAGTAGTAAATGGATCCTCTAACTCCCTATCCGAACTATCCGAAATTTGAAATACCCGAATCGAACTGAACCGATACCCGAAACGCCAGAACCTAGTGTTAACTGAGGCAATATACATAGATGGAAAGTTTATTAGGTTTTTATAGATGTGTTTCACTAAATTAAATATCTAGAAAACGTATTTAGCCCAAAATATAACCCTCATTCTGTAGACGATGACATGTGTATGATGACGAAAAAGAGATTTTGTGTCTGTAAATGTATTTAATGATGATATCTAAAGTTAGGTATAGGCGGTGAACATTAAATACAATCATATCTTGTAGATTTGAACATATGGATACATATTTATATATCGGTTATTCCCTCTAATATCCTTTTGTATTCAAGGCGATATCCGATGATAGTAAGGTATGCATCAAAATTTGCTTTCTTCTTCATATTTTTCCTCAACTCACGGGATAATTTCAGAAGGGGTTGATGTTGTAGATCGAGAGTTGGGGCTACAAGGAATATATACTAAGGTTAGTAGGACGACATTAAAGTCATGGTAAATGATGTTCTTTGTCTGGTTTAATTAGGTCTAATTGTTTCTAATAATAGATTGTGTTTAATGGTGTTTATTACGGCTGATTACATCATTTATGACATATTTGTCTATTCTGATATGTCAAAATACTTATAAATGAAAAAAAAATTACTTATAGATGGTGATTGCTCGTCTTGTTCGGCTTATATGTGGAGTTAGGTCGCAAAACGAAAAACGGTGAAATGGTTCTTCCATAGAGACCTCAAAAATCTCGGTGTAGGAGCTATGCTCACCGCAGAGAAGGCAATGACTGGGTAGAAATTATTGTGTGTAAGAGAGATATGATAAAATCGGAAATGGATGCTGACTTCAAACATAAATCACACACCACTGACCACCCGCAGATGTAGCGGAGATGATGAGTGTGAGGGTCTGGTATACATAAATCACTCTATGTGTTACTTCATATCTAAAAGTTGTAGCCCGGTAGAATTCATGTGCCGAACCAATTTTTTTCTTTGTAGTTGGGGAGGATAGAAGGGACCATAACGTGTTTTTAGGTAAACTGGGGTTTTTTCCACCAAACTTTGGTTCTTGTTTTAGTAGTGAAAATTATATTTTTTGCCTTTTCATCTGTTTCACAGATTGCCCTTGGTGACCAACAATTTGAATATGCCACATTTGTACTAGAAAATAATTTCAGTGAGTAAGAGCTTCTTGTTCTCTATTGTGTTGGCTTTGAAATCGATAAGTCAATTGCTGATCTTGATAGAGAACCAGCTACAATACAAATGATGACGATGATGACAAGGAGGAAGAAGAGGGACAGAGCCTTTGGGAAACCCAACTACCTTGTCACTGTATCCAGATGCTAATATAAATGGTATGGATCAAATTTATTTTTACAGTATAGAAAAGATGCTTATTCAGATATCACTTATGACTGGGTAATATGTTGTTGTATGTAACTTCATCTTAGCTTCTTCCTCCGGCCGTGGATGTTGAAATAAGACAAGGATATGCTGGTATAAAAACTGTGGAGAATTTAATAGTGAATATTTTGGGTTTAAAGTTTGTACAATATAATTATGATATTGTTAGTAAATTTAAATTACAATAGAAAACACACACACGCAACGTTAAGAACTTTAAATATTTTTGTAACTATTTATCAAACTGTAACTGCAACGAGAACAAAATTTTAATTTCATGAAATTTGAAACAGTTTGAAGCGATTTATAGTACCGCTTGATTATTGTAAAACATTAAGAATCGCTATTAACCACGAATACTATGTTTGCGGGTGATAAGATAGAAACAAATCAGACCTATAGTGGATTTGTAACTTCGAGCTAATATCATAGAGAAACAATTACACAATTAATCTGTTGAATTCTAAAATAATGTTTCTTCTATTTCCTCTTACCACTCTTTGTTTTTCTAATTACTATTTATTCCATCTCTAAAGAACTATAATTTTTACCAATAATTATATAATATTCTTATAGTGGCATCTTACAAAATTAATTAGCATGCAAAGTTTGTATAACATGCCAACATAATGGTGAACATGCTAATTTAATGAATAATTAAGATTGTTTTAAGGGACCTTGTTATAAAGTATGAACATGAATAATATTCGAATAGCCACATACACATTTTTCTAAAAACAATTATGACACTGGACAAGTTTTAGGTTATAAAAAATCTCTTTAAAGAATGGAAACATCAAAAATATCCTCTTATTAAAAGTAAGGCTTTTTGCCAAAACTAACCCACAACTTGGTTTTAACTCCAATACTAGACCCCAACTTGAATCAAATGCAAATCTAACCTAAAAGGACTATGAAATTACAGTATAGTGCTCTGTGACCAAACAAAAAAACAGAAGACATTTTTACGAATATAACCCCAGTAAGTTGTCTGGGTCGGGCTGAGTTACTTTTCAGTCGTCTGGACGACTGAAATGTTAGTTGTCTGGACGATTGAATCTTAAAAATAATTTATAAATTCTGTAAAAAATATTTTGATGAGTGAAAAATTAAAAACATGTAATTATAAACATTTATAAGTGATAT